TGCAAGAATTATTTCAGAGTGTATGCGTGTCGTTTTGTAAATTTAAACACTGTGACCTATTTTAACTTGTTTTTGTGTCCTTTCAAGCAGCGCGATATGTCTGTTATGACCAGAGTGCCAAATTTTATTCTTTAATTTTGATCTTCTCTACACTGTACATAATTCATGACCTGATATTTCAACGAAAATTATCGAGAAGGCGCCTTCCGATAACCTTTGTCTACTTGTAAGTCACGCAAGCGCGCAAGCGTTACGACCGATCACGTTTACGCAACGTTTTAGGACAACTTGGCATCTAATATCCATTCAGTTGCTGTGAAAACCTAAAGTTCTCAACGTAGAAGATAAACGAACGAAGTTTGAACTGTCAAAAGGAGATCTTGGTCAATTCCAAGAATCATGCAAATGATCTTTGACACGAGCGCAATTGAGCAAACACATGGAATTGCGTTGTTTTTAAGAAGTTGGTACCCGCGGGTTTGAGGCAATCCGTGACCTCATTGGTGTATGAACTATGCATTGATATACTTTTTCGGCCCGATCAACGCCTGCATTTTGAGAATTATTTCGTACAATGTAGTGAATTTTTGATATGCAAATTAAGGTCGAAGAGCAGGGTCTCTTCTGATCACGCTGGTATGAAAAATATTTCAGCTGAAGTTTCCATATTTTGTCTGTGAACTAACTGAATACACCTTGTAACCTGTAGCAGGATAGAATTCCGTGAGCTAGACAAAATGCGCGCTAGACAAAATCTTTGAAATTGACACTTTCGATCGCTGTTCACAGAGGTGGTCTTCCCAAAAATGATTTTTGGCTTGTGGCGACGCAAAAAAAAGAGAATTGGAGAACAACTAAACTATTTATGAAACATGTGTCCTAAACCCTTTTCATGGGCAAAAAAACAAAAGAAAACTTTTTTCCGACGGGAAGTCGAGAGGACCACTTTTAGCGAGAGTGGCACTTAAGTCTAATTCGTGTGGGAGTGGCAACAATTAGCCTGAAAAAACAAGTTTTTCTGTCCTTTTCTGTCTTTTTCAATGCTTCCCTCGCTCCTACAGCGGACTCATACAAATATGAGAGCCGTGCTGCGTTTACATTGCAAAGGTAGAAAAGGTCGTCCAGAATGAGTGTTTCGTTCTGTAATGAAAACCCCAGTAAACTCACACAGAAATGACTCGTTTCGAATAAATTTTACGCTGGTTGTTATGTGGCAACCGGTATGAACTCGTTCTTGTACAAAACTCATTCGGATATCATGTAAAAGGCCCCTAAAAGTTTTTATTCCCAGAGCATCGCGCTTTGCGCGCCTGTCTGAATACTAAAAATTTCAGTGGCGTTGAAGCAACAACCCACTTTGAACTGCTTCGCTGCCGCTGAAACAACGATTAGTGAAGAAAGTACAAATTTTGATATTTTCAATTCAACGTAAACAAAAATATTTATACATGGTAAATATTCACTTGTGTTGGTATCAATTATTGCGTGACTAGCTTATGATATAAATGAGGGAGGGGAAAACACAAAACCTGGCCTCCTGTCAAAAAGTAATACCCAGGCGTAATATAATGATCGAAACGGCTAATAAAATCATAAATAAACAAGGTAAGAGTGTTATGTTAGACTTTTTTACAAATTGTAGTGATTTATGCCAATTAACCGTGGCGACAAGTAGGCGCACCATGTATATTTCATAGTCGCTATAAAGTAAATTTTGCCGGACTTTGAGTTCGTCTCAAGATAGAACAACACAAATACACAAAGAAATTTTTACAGTAACTTAATAAACATCCTTTGGTCTGTTGTAATGATAATTTTAAAAACTATACGATATTTTACAGGCAGCCAGTGTAATGACTTGAGCAGAGGTGTGATATGACAAAATCCTCTCTCCTGGGATATGAGGCGTGCAGCTTCATTCTGGACGCTCTGAATTTGTGAAGATGGCACTCAGGAACTCCAAATAGGAGGCTGTTACAATAGTCCAAGCAGCTAGATATAAAGCCATGAATAAGTGTCTCCGTGCACTCTTTTGTCAAATATTTTCTAATTCTTTTAATGTTATAAAGATAGTTAAACGCTGCAGAACAAGTCTTGGTGATAATATCAACCATAGATAGGTTTGAGTCGAGCCAGAATCCAAGGTTTTTAACAAGAGAGTGCGGAGCTATATTTACTTTGCCAACTTTAATGTGTCCAATATCAACTTTGGCGAGCTGCTGCTTCGTGCCAATTAAAAGAAACTCAGTTTTTTCCTCGTTCAACAATACTTTGTTCTCGCGCATCCAACACCTGATCGCCTTAATACAACACTCAATAGCAGTAATACATCCAGGTGACCTGTCTCATCTGCGGGGCGCAAAGAGACGTAGAGTTGGGTATCGTTTGCATAGCAGTGGACAGATGGAAGATATTTTCGACGAGTAACGAGCTCGATAGATTTTTTGCTAGCTACAACAAACACCTCAAAATTCAGGCGATTTTTTAAACATTTTAAGTCCTTTCGTCGATAAATAGCGCGAAGTCATGCTACTTTCCTGAATATCGATCATGAAGTTAGGCGAGAAATCGTTACGTATACTTTGTCTGACTGCCGGTCAACGATTCAAGACCAAGTGGAAAAAAATTTATCGGAAGAAAAAAAGACGTAGTTAGCGTGCACGAGGTGTTTGCACAAGATTCATTGACACAAGCTACTTGTTTAAAACAAATGCCTGTCATCAGGATTTGAGATAACGATATCATTATTTACTCACGTCCCTTTTCCAATGAAACAAGACTATTAGTAAAGGGTCTCAATGAGGTGATGGCTTTTTAAAGCTTTTTTAAGTCGCTAAAGCGACTAAAGGTTACAATTTGCCGATCTTTACTCCTAACAGCTACATTTTGTTATTGCTTTATGGCTAACGGTTAGCCCCTGATTGTCCTGGTTGAGACCCTCCTAGTATGCAAACCTTCAGGCTGAAGTAAGTTTGAGATCAAAGAATATTGTGGAATTTAGCAAAGTCACGTATCAGGTTTTGGTGCTGTTGTTGGGTTTTTCACTTCTTAGCATAAGTCTGCGATATGAAAATTGTCTTTCTAAGCCATTTGCTCTCAATAGCAAACTCTTTCATCGGGGGAGGAGGGAGAGTTTAAAGCCTCCAACTGATAGGCGCATTAACATTGTGAAATTGGGCTGCCTGTAAACAAACCAGTTACACATTTCACAGGTTTAGGTAGGAAACTGACCAAGTAGACAGCTTTTATTTCACCTTCTACACAGTCATTGAACTAAAATGACTCCGCAGCAATAATTTAACACTATCAAAGAAAAATTTTTAGGACATCAGACATCTCGATTCTGGTCTCCTCCAATAGAAAAAAAATTTAAAAAACAAAAGCAAATAGGTGAAAAACGAAGAGTCCTCGACGGTTCATGAACAAATTAAAGACTGAAATTCTTTCGCGTTCGTCCACTGTTATACGCTTTGTTTCTTGTCATCAGAACGCCAATTGCAGATAACACAGCAATGACACAGTCACAACTAGAATTATAGTTCACCAGAAAAATTCTACAATGTTGACTTAAACTAATTCTCTGCTATAACAACGGCATGGAGGTTACTATCTGTTCTGAAACCGCAAAACTCCTTTCACTGTCAGCGAGAAGAAGATTATGGTGATAAAAGAGATACTTAATTAAAAGCAAAAACAATCAAAACCATTCATCAAAGATTAAGAAAAAAAGAACTTAACAGCAATTTAAAAGCTCGCAAGGTCGACACTGGTGTGAAATCAGTGCTGATTAAATTTTTTATTACGTCCATTTTGAAATCACTAGTGATCCTTGCAATAATCTGATTGGCTCTCATCGGTGCGATTTATTCACGAATCGCACACTTTTTCAACTTTAAAAACCAGCATAACCAATGATTCACTGTGATGATTATCTCACAGCTACGTTGATATGGACGAGGTAAGGCGAACCAGTAACTTGATTGTGACGACTACCTCCTTGTCCACTCAGGGTGAAGTCTGAAGTCAACTCTTCTTGTTATTCCTTCAGGATTCACCACCAAAAATAAAGAAATTAGCTAAGGCTCCTACTTGTTCTGGTTTGTAGCGTTCAAATGAAAAATACTGAAAATTGTTGCTCGCGTGGTAATGTTTAATGTGCTCAACAAGGTTGTTCTGTCAATCGCTTCTAACAGAGTATTAAGGAGGGACTATAGAAAAGGGGGAATCGTTCACCAATCAGCTAAAAGCGCGGGAAAACGTACGTTGCCACGTCGCAATTGGTGTTTTGCCTTGGATCTGATTGGTCGTGAGGATGGTGCGAGTTTTTCCTGACCAATCACAGAGCTTATTTAAACAATGCAAAGGTAGTCTAGATTTTGTACGTTGGACACTCAATTGGATTCTGGGGCGCTTTCCATTCGACCAAAATTTTCGAGATTTCCCGTCTGAAATCAAATTTACGAAAATTTAGGCATACGTTTTAAGTGTGCTCTCTTAGATGGAATTTCCGAAATTATATAAACGTGTGTTTTCCATTTGCGACGGTTGTCGGTTTTAGTCTTCCTGCCGAACCTGAGCTCACGTAGGTACATGGGAAAACAGGAATGGTGGGCGAAGTACCACCAGTGTATATCAGTGCTTAGCTTGTGGGGACATAATTTCTGCACAGTCCCATACTTCATTATGCATCCATAGATGGGGCTTTGTTAGTCACTGTATCACCAATAAGATGTGCATGCATAATGAAGTATGGAGCTGTGCAGAAATTTTTCCGGGCAGAATAGATGCGAAATATCCTGATATCCAGCAGAACGAGAATGTTGTTATACGTAAAGGTAAGGTTTGTCTCGGTTCAAATAATCTGCTATTGATTTGCTCAAAGGGGGTCCTCAAAGTTTCACTCGTCAGTTTCCTCGATCTCTACCTTCTTATGACAAGAATGAACAATGTGTATCATTTATTTCAATTCAGACTTAACTGTTGATCAGGGAACCCTTTAAAAGTGGGACGACCGGTATGTTCACTTGCTAATAGAAACTTACAATCATCACAAGCATCTTTTCAACACCAAGAGGGGAAAGATGACTAAAAAGCAGGTGTTCGAAAGAATTGCGGAATATTTGTCAGTGGCGATCAGTGTCTTTGAAAATGGAAAAAATTAGAACAAAAGTATAAAGAAGTAGAACACAACAATAAAAGAATGGGAAGAGGCAGAAAGGATTGGAAATTTCTCCACAAAATGGCTGGTTGCCTTGGCCAAAATCCTAAAGTTAATCCAGCATTTACATTCGATGCATCAAGTGAAAGTCAGGCATCCAGATCAGAATCTCTATTAGTCACCAGCAGCACTACTAACAACGAAAACTGCTCAGACTGCAGTGATGAAGGTGTTGGTGATGAAATCAAGAGAGAAAGGAACTGAAACTTCGCAGGCAGCGCAAACGAAATGGTCATTCGTCAGCCACTGAAACGCTAACTTTCCTACAAACATATACCGAAAAAAGACAGAAGGCTGAAGAGGAAAAGTTAAGTCTTCTAAGGGAGATGAAAGATTAAAACAAAACCAATTTCTTTTAGCCAATTTCTCGAGATATTAAAAAATAAGTATTCAAGAGATTCGAGAAAAAACCATCTGGCTTTTATGCAGATCAAAGTTTAGATTTGTTTGTTTTCTTTCCTAAAAGCAAATACCGAAAAAAAGGGAAAGGCTGAAGAACAAAAGTTAAACCTTCTAAGGGAGACGAAAGATACAAAAAGCAGTTTTTAAGCAAATTGTGGAGATATTAAAAAGATAAATGTAAGTATTTTAAGCTTTTAGGCATATAAAAGTTCATATTGCTTGTTAATTAATTGAGCATTTCTATGTACATATTAAGATTTTTAAAATGTTTTGAAACCACCACAACCATCCTGGAAGCTCATGTCTCAATTTAAAATGAATTATGTTGGGTTAACCATGTACAGAGGCCTTGAATGCGAAACAGAAACTATTGATAATATATTCTCAGCAACAAAGCCCAGGAAGGAAAGTTTAAAGTATAATTATGACCGGACATCACAACTCATTGCGCTGACTGGTGATGAAGGCTGAGGATGTTCATCTCTCACAGATTCAAATTATATACACAAGCAGCATGTAAACACATTTATTTCAAGTTATTATTAAAAAGCCTCTTTGAATCAGAGAGATATTTTAGAAAAAAGGTTATTCTTGAGAAGTAAGGAAAAAAGTGTCAGTTTTGAGGTGAATGATATCTCTATGGAGAGATATGGGATTTACACACCCATGGGAACTGTCTATGAGCCCTAAAAATATATGAATTGGAGAACCATAAGCCAATACAAATTCAAACACCTGTAACAGATAATTTCCTCTCTTTAACCCTTTCACTTCCAGGAGTGAATAATGAGTTATTTCTCCTTCCAATGTAAATACATTGTCAAGCAGAAGGATGATGAGAGGAAAGAAAATATCAACTTGGGGATATTTTCCATTGTCTAATTTTCAGAGCTAAGTTACAGGAAAAGTATGGCATAGAGTAAGGAGAATTGATATTGAGATCTCTGGAGTGAAAGAGCAAATTTTTAAGTTTCTTTGCTTCTAATGAGCAGTAACAGTGTTCATAAGGTACACCTTCTTCTGTGCTGCTCCATGATCTGGTGGTTCTCGTTGCTCACTTCCACCATCTTCTATGCCATCAGCATGACCTGGTAGGAAATACCCATCATCAAAATCATCATATAACAAACAAAAATTATGAAGGACACAAGTAGCAGTTATTATTTTCACTGCCATGACTAAATCAAGGTGATCAAGATATTGAAGCTTTTGCCATCTTCCTTTGAGAAGAGAGAAGGATCTCTCCACTTTCTGGCGTACAGCAGGAAGGGCCTGAAAAGTAATAGAGAAAAGTTATGATTTATGTGGAGTCCATACTTTCTTAATGATATTGGAAAAAATGTAAAATGCTCCAAATCAGTATTTTGCACAGACTTTTGCTACCAATCCTTTAATGGGCTTAACATATGAAGCGGCTCCTCTGTAGTTTCTTAGCTTACCTGGAGATTTAGTGAGTGACATTTCTTGCGGTTTATGTAGGCATCTGGTTCATGCTCAGGGGCACGAATACACACGAGTAGCATCAATAAGACCAACAACACCAGGGAATTTCCCTTCGGCATGGAATGTTGCTTCAATTTCACGAGCGAGGTGAGCTGTTGATTTAAATTTTAATTATGTTATCTAAGTATTTATAAACACCACTGTATATATATATATATATATATATATATGTGTGTGTGTGTGTGTAAACGCTCACCATTGGGCCACTTAATGTAGCGATTTAATGTTCTGCGCATAAAGCAGGCAACTGCAGCCGGAAATATTGTATCGTCGTTGCTGTTGAGAATGGTACAGCTCATCATCGCAGTCACCTTGTTCTAACGACTCGTAAATATTTAAAAAGCCCGCTAACTTGAAACACAACAAAGTAAACCCAGCATGCTCTGTGTTGCAGAGCATGCGACCTCAAATGTGACCGCTAACTTTGGATATAACTAGAGATAGGAGCGAATGCGACTCCTTGTCTAGTTTGTAAATTATTTCGCGCGACTCTACCTTTACTTTTTAAAGTTCTGCTGTCGCTGTGTTTGTCTGTCACCTTACTGTTTGAGCATTAAAATGAAAGCTACGGAGAAGCCCTTTCTTTTGGGACTGTTTATTCTGCTGTCAAAGAGTTGCAGTACAGTCGTTGTAAACCTTGTTTTATTCTCCAACGTGTTTCGTCTAGTTGTCGTAGACTTCTTCAGGGATTTTTACAAGTAAACACTAAACGCCTGTATTTTAAGCCATGGTTAGCTCAATTTAAGAGCCGTTTTCTACCACAGAGTTTCCACTGAAACTATTATCTATCTCAACGATGAATCAGTTATCGGCTTATCGATAGAAAACAAAGAAAACAAAAAGAGGGGGTTGTCCGAAAAGACCTATTTCAGGTTGAAGCAAATTTTCGAAAATTTGGTGGACAATTCCAAGTTAAAATTTCCCTGTCTTGTACCTTTCGGTTATGCTGATTTATACGCACGAGATGTGTAGCTAAAGTTTGCTAAAACTTCAGGTTAACTGATTTTTTCGTCATCGAAGTACTCCACTGTGTAGGTGAATCTTAACGAATTGTTGATTTGGCTCGTTATGTTACCCGCTCTGGAGTGCGTGACCATTCTATAGTTGTCACAATCAATTGATCTTCGCAACCTCAAAGCCAGGTTCCATAGCTGTGCAAATGATGGCCTTTACTGTTAGAACGAAGAGTAATCACTCTCTTGTCTCATCGGGTCGGACTATTTTGTTCATGCTCAAACAAAACCATGGTCTCCGTGGTTTTCTGCCGTCGACATCAACGCGTTCTCTTTCGTCCATTTCAGTCAAAGATGTACCAAAAACAAAACCTTTTTCAGATTCCCAGGTCCGCTCCGTCTTCCAGTTTTCAGAACAGCTTGGACATTCTTCGTGGGAACGAAAGGTCAGCCCCTTCGAGAGCGACTTACGAATTCCAAGCTAAGCAGAAAATGTCAAGAAATATGGGAAAGTATTCCGCAACAAACTACCAGGCGTCGAAATTATTAGTTTATCCGATCCTGCCGATGCTGCAAAGTTACTTCGATCGGATCCCAAATATCCAGAAAGAATGGACTTTCCGTCTCTTAATTTCTACTGGGAAAAAAGGAAGAAAATTCCTGGTGTTTTTTTGCCGATGGTGAAGAATGGTACAAGCTACGAAGCGTCCTGAGCAAGAGAATGCTTGGACCGAAAGAAGTCGCCGACTATACTCCGGGTTTCAATAAAATTATCAGCGATTTTATTCACCGATTACGATCAGTTCGAGAGCCTATTGGGTCAGAGAAAGAAAACGAAGTCTGTGAACTCGATAATAAACTTTTCAAATGGTTGTTTGAGTCTGTGGCGGAGATGTTGTTTGACAAAAGGTTTGGTTGTCTCGAAGAGGAAATCAACAAAGCGACGCAGATCTTTATAAAAGCCGTCAGAGATTTTCTGGCGAATGAAGTCGAAGTCGGTTTTTTGCCTACTTGGTTTTACAAGATGTACAAGACCCAGAAATTTTAAAAATTTTTCCATAATTTTGAAACGATGTATGATTACGCTGAATTATTTATCGGGAGAAGAATCAAGGAACTGGAGGAGAAGTCATGCAAGCCATCAAAAGAAACAGAGCGTGACCAAGCTGGCTTCTTCGAGTACTTACTGGCCAGCGGAAAGCTGACGAATGATGACCTGTTGGCGAGCGTAATCGATGTTCTATTTGCCGGAGTTGATACTACGTCTAAGACAATTCAATGGGTTCTTTACATGTTGGCCAAAAATCCTGAGAAACGGAAAATTCTTCGACAGGAAGTGCTCTCAGTGGTTTGAAATTCTACCCTTGCAACGCCGGAAATTCTCGCTTGAATGCCATACTTAAAGGCCTGGTTACGAGAGACCCTCCGCCTCTATCCTGTTCTCTCCGCTATCCCGCGAAGACCGTAAGAAGACATAATATTAGGGGGCTATCAAATCCCTGGGGGCACTGCTCAAGTTGAGTTCCTTGTTCACCAAATGGGGCGAGATGAGAGTATTTCTTGAAGATGCCGAAGCGTTTAAACCGGAGAGATGGTTGCGAAACAGATACCGCTTTGATCGAATCAGCAGAAGCTTTCGCTTCTCTTTCATTTGGATTCGGAACACGTATGTACCTCGGTCGACGTATTGCCGAGTTAGAGCTCCATCTGCCGATGACCAGAATCGTGCAGCGGTTTGACATCTCTTTCCCACCGGAGGCAGAGAATGTGGAGCCGTTCATGAGAGGGGTCACCATTCCTGACAGATCTGTTAGAGTGCAGTATGTTGACAGAAAACTGATGAGTCAGGTTTTCATGTTCCACGTTCACCTTGCATTGTAACACTGTTTTGACAAGAAAGTGGGACATGTTCTCGTGAAAACTCGTTTAAACAATCCACACCTATTAGATTGAAGGCGTTCAATAAGTCACATTTAGTAAATCGTTTGTAGTACGTGAATGCTAGTTGTAAGTAAATTCGGTGTTTTAAAGTACTAGGAAAGTCATCTTGCTAAACTGCATATATATACATACATACATACATACATACATACATACATTTATGTATATATTTGTGTATTTCAAATGCATTTCAACGGTCCTATGAACTATATTTTGTCTCCACTACACAACCGAACACAGAAAACAACACTTGGAAGCATGGGCGCGTCGGGCAGCCGGGCCATGATACACTTTACTAACTCACGTGAAAAAACTCCACTGTTACAGTAATTCTAAGAATACGCCACGACCGGAAACGTAAACCAAAAAAACCAACTAGTGGAAAAATAGGGACCGTGTAACAACAACCTATGCCATGGCGTCGCCTTTGGGGTAGAAGGCAAAACTAAAAATAGAAAGCTTAATAACAAGAATATGAGGAGAAAACGAGATACACATAAAAATGGCTGAGAAAGATAGGGACCACTACGCATGGTAACGAAATTAAGGCTAACAGAGAAAGTGAAAACTAAACTAACCAAAGCAAGATGACGCGGCGAGGTCGACCGTAGAATGACACGCATTATTAACAGGTCACTATTTCAAACCCCCCTAACCGCGGTCCCACGCGCGCTACACTAGAACCCAGTTCACCGTTCCGTGCCGGCAAAATAATCATTTATGTCAATTCTAATTTACACAAATTACACTTTTCTCGCATGCAAATTTTTGTGGTGTACAATTATATTTCGTATTTTTTTTCGGTTTTCATTGTATATTTATTGTCTTGTAACTCACAGATATGCCACACAAAAGTAGCAGACGAAAAGTCTGGTGAGGTTTTTGGTCAACAAAATGCAATCCCCTACATAAAATTTACTTTGATAATAAAGTAACCTTTTCCAGGCGTTCAGTTGATAAAACGGAGCGAAATAGTAGCGGCAGAGCGGAAGTGAAGGATAATGAGTATACAAAAGTATCTATAAGCATACAAGAGTCTCTGTGAGGATACAACCGTATCTACGCATAAGGGTATAGGTTAACCCTTTACACCCTAAGGTCAGTATACATATTCTCCATACTGTTTTCTCTGCATTTCCTAAGGTGCTGACAAGGAGATTTTGCTTAATAATCAAGAGCTCCTGTACTTGTTGATCATTTCCATTATTCTCGTGCCCTTAATGTTTGATTCAGGAGTAATATTGTGGTTAAATTGATAAAATTACTGGGGTATCTATGAAAATACAATGGTTTGCATTACTATACAGGAATATATCTTTTTTCTTTTCTTTAAATGTGTTTATCTTGGCATGTTAAACCACAATATTTCTTGTCAAGAAATTTCCAATACTCTACGCCGAGAAAAAACTTATTTTCCAAGTCATACACTTGTTTAAGTCTCTTGAATTGACTAACTAATCACCTTTGACAACGGATTTAAATTTTTTTTTCTTGAAGAACTAATCGCGTTCGAAACATAAAAATTGTCACACTTCGCTTGGCTTGTTCACTGAACTAATAACTTCGGAACTCTTATAAAGATATAACACTATACGCTGTCTTGTTTCAGATGATTAAACTTAGATGTCTGATGAGCATTTTACAGAAATGTCTTCCTCTGTGTATCGATCCGAGTTGTCCTTCGCAGATGGCGTCCTCTTTTTACAGGCTAGTAATTAAACAGTTCCGAGCTTTACTGAGTCTAGTTTATTCTGCTACAGAGGATTTATCAAAGTCATGGCTGCATGAACTGCTCTGTGGCTCTGTCATCCAGGGCCCATCGTGCCGCTAACACTGAACGAGCTTCGGCTCCTAAGAACGCTCTGGCAATTCCAATAACTCCCTCGGTTCTAATCTGTCCACGAGCACTGTGACAACAACTAAGCACCACTAGTTTAGCTCGCAACCGAGTTTTTTAAATATCTTCCATCGTCAAAAGATAATCTTCTTCTCGAGGAAGAGATAAAACATTTTGACAAAGTGGGTCTGGCTCCTCTTCCATGTACATAAACTGTGGCACCAGGTATGAAAAAAAAATAAAATCAACAGTCCACTGATTCCCACATATTACTGACATTACCACAAGTTTGTTTGAACTTTTAAAAAAGAAAAACTATAAATATGACGTCTAATGCCTCTCTCTTACCACTAGCAAGGTTATTAAGGTTGCAGTTGTAAATTGTACGACCACAGTCATCAATAACCTCCACACATCCTGATCTGATCACCTCAGATTCACCGTTTCTGTAAACAAGGAAGTCCATCG